GCCGTGTGGGGCGCCGCCATCTTGTCCGTTCCGCTGCCGCCACTATGCCGGAGGACAGCGACTGGGAGGCGTACAAGGTGCCACCGACGCGCACCCCGGTCTCCGAGAGGACCACGTCGTTGCCCAACCCGGTCAACATCATCCAGACCGTCTTTAACTATGTCGTCGATGCGCACGTCACCTTCGTCCGAGGAACCCGCCGCCGCCGTCGTCCCCGGGGCGGCCGGACCCCCCTCAGTAGCGCCGCGGTGACTGCGGGAGTCGGGCTTCAGCATGGCATGGGGAAGCGGAGGAACGGGCACCGAGGGGCATGGGACAAAGACACAAGGACACGGCCATTGGGACAGGCATGGGGAGATGGGACATGGGACACAGACAAGAACAGAGGGACAGACATGGGGATGTGGGACACAGCACAGAGATTAAGACAAACACAGGGACTTGGGACACAGACAAGGACACAGCACAGACCCAAACACACACATGGGGCCCACTGCTGTGGTGCTGCCCAGGGAGACAGCAGCAGGGCTGGGCAGGGATGCTGTGGCCAGCGCTGGGGCTGTGCTGTCCCTTGCTGACAGCGGGGCTGTCTCTGCAGAGTGGATCGAGCGCCAGCAATCCAAGAACAAGCACTACTATTACCACCAGAAGTTTCGCCGTGTGCCTGACCTGAGCGAGTGCCTGGAGGGTGACTACCTCTGCTTCTTCGAGGCCGAAGCACAGTGGAGGAGGGACAGGTATGGCCACCATAGGGCTGCCCCCAGCAGGGTGCAGGGCTCTGGGTCATCAGCCCTGGGAACCACAGCATTTCGGGTGTTGAGGCAGCACCCCCTGCCCACCGTGTTACAGAACACCCATTTCATAGCGCTGCCATCCCCTGCAGCACACCTGAGCTGAGCAGGGTGGCACTGCACACATCCTCCTGCACTGCTCAGTTCCTACAAAAACCCAGAGCTGGCCTTCCACAGGGCACCATCGCCCCTTTGCTCAGCTCTTTTATGATCTCTTGCCTCCATTGCATTCATCATCATCATCTTTCCTGCAGGATGGTTGATCAGGAAATTGTGGAGATCATACGGGAAAGATTCGGTGCGTGCAAGCAGAGGGAAGGACCCAACCACTTCCAGAACTGCGCCAAGGAGATGGAGCTGCTGGCACAGGTCACCAAGGCCTACCAGGACCGATGTGAGTACAGCGACAGCGTGCAGGGAAAAGGGGGTTTAAGCCAAGCCCCAGACTTCACCCAGAACAGAGGTTTAGTTCTGTTCAGCTGCTGAGGGGTACTCCAGACATTTACTTTATCTTTTTAGATGGTGATCTGGGTGTCCATGGAAATGCAAGGACGTGCCTGATGAAGCAGAAGCACAGGATGATGGAGGAGAGGAAGGCACAAGCAAATGAGTCTCAGTAGTTCTGGTCAGAACCTCATATCCAGCTGAATGTTGTATCTTTGAACCTCTACAATAAATGTGCAGCCCAGGCATCTGCCACACAGCCAAAATTTAGTCTCATTCTTTGATAAGATCTACAAACTACAGAATTCTTCCTTTTTCAGCTCTGCATTTACCTTTGAATTCCAGTTGATCCTTACCACCCTCTGAACCACGTTCAGCCCCTACCTCCAGCCACCTTAGCTGGGATTTCCCTTTGGGACATGTCCTCCACCTCTGGGAACCATCAAAAACCGTGCTGCTCTGCCCAGCCCCGACCAAAAATTCCTTCAGGGTAAAAAAATCCCACACTGAAGAACAGCACAACGTTCAGAGCTGGTTCTGGACCCCCGTTAGGACCAACACATGATTAATGAGGATCAGGGTAACGTAACATACTGTTTCATTCAGCAGATGTTCAGGCTCTGAACCTACTCGAATCCCCAGCAGAGATTTAATCCATCTGCCCCAAGCATTAACCTCAAACCAATCACCGTTTCTCCTTCACTGATCACTTTATTGCCTCGTACAAAACCCACTTAAGTTGTTGCCACAGCAGCTGCCTGGGTTCTCTGCACCGAGACTCGGGTGTGAGTCTTTGCCAGATGATCAGTGAACTCCTGCAAAAATAAAATAAAAGCAGAGTTTGATTTTCTTAAGCCACTGTCATTGGAGTCTCTGCACTGCAGCCCTTTCCCACAACGTGTGTGTGGAGGCTGAGGCAGTTCAGATAACTCACTAAACCACAAATTCTCTGGGGACAGCACCTCAACTTCCCAGGGCAGGATCTGAGCTGCAAACAGCAGCCGTGCTCTCACCTGGTAAGGAGACTTGGTGAACACGGTCTCTTTCCAGAGGTCGGGGGTCAGGTAGCTGTAGGTCTTGGAGATGGCATCGAAGGTGGCTTTGGCTACAGCGAGAAAGCAAACACTGCTCATCACTGCTGCAGGAACCCGCTTGCCCTACCCACCCACACAGCTCCAAAAATGTAGGATTTTGGGAAGAACAGGGAGACCATAGCAGGGTCTCTCTGACTCAAACACAAAAGTCAAGTTTCTTTCTCTCTCCATTTACGACAATTACACCACTTCAACAAGTGCAATCGCGCAGATTGGGAGAATTTTAATACCAACGCATGGATAAAAAGGCAATTTCTTATCACTAACTTTTACAAAACCTCAGGATTATCTACAGCAGGACTAAGCTGCAGCGTAAGAAGTACCAGAAGTCTGCTCCTGTTTGACTGCCAGAAGCTTTTGATTCAACAAAGGTTTAAACTACTACAGAAACGGGTGTGCAGCACCCCAGCAACGGCAAAAACGGCAACACACGCAGCAAAGCTACCGCACGATCACCAAACACTCACCAAAGTTGCCAAGCGTGGCCGTGCAGCCCCTGGCTGAGGTGTAACAATCGTCAATCCCAGCCATCATCAGCAGCTTCTTGGGGACGGGGGCAGACACGATCCCTGTGCCACGAGGGGCCGGGATCAGACGCACCAGGACGGATCCACACCGGCCGGTGACCTACGCAGACACAACGGGTTACAGCTCCCGAAATACGGCACCAGCACAGAGACCCAGCCCAGCAGCGCTCACCTTGCAAGGCACCGTGTGGGGCTTGCCAATCTTGTTCCCCCAGTAGCCTCGTCGTACGGGTACGATGGATAACTTGGCCAAAATGATTGCCCCGCGAATGGCGGTGGCAACTTCTTTGGAGCATTTCACGCCAAGACCAACGTGGCCGTTGTAGTCCCCGATAGCGACGAAAGCCTGGCATTGAAAGGGAAGGTTTCAGTGGTGGCACAGGAACACTCAGCAGAGCAAAACCCATCAGGGTTTGTCACTGCAGATGACCCAAAGCGTGTGCTCAGCAGTGAAACCAGTTTAAGGAGCCCATTTTTCCCCTTTTCCCTCAGTCAAAACCAGCGACAGTTGAAGAATGGAGATTTAAATCCCTGCTACAGCCTCATGCTGGTCAAAAACCCACATAATTTCCAAGCCACATTCCCTCTTTACACAAGACTTCTTTCCCTGCCACAGCCCCAGCACTGCAACATAATTTCATGCTAAGGCTGCTTCAAGTAACACTGGAATATTTTAATAGGGTTTTTTAAATTAATACACCTTGTAAGTTATACAAGCTGATCTCTGTATCAAAATATTTACTAGATACTATAGAAGTAAATAAAGATATTTTATTTTATTAATATGATACTAAAGCAGCAGACAACACACATTTCCAATGTGAGAAAACAGAAGAAAAAGGCTACCTTAAACCTGGTGCGCTGACCAGCACGGGTCTGCTTCTGGACAGGCATGATCTTCAAAACCTCATCTTTCAGAGAAGACCCCAGGAAGAAGTCAATGATCTCCGACTCCTGCAAGATTTGCTCGTTTAATCACACACAGCCCCACTTTTTAAACAAACTGAACACAGCTTCAAATGCAACAACCCTGTAGACAGGTCTTTAAGTAATAGGTACTTAAATATGTTAAATAACACAGGCTTTTTTAAATTTCACTTACTTTAGGTTCCTAGGCAGTCAAACATTGCAAGTTAAAGTTTCCTTTCACAGAATGGCTCGGTTGGAAAAGCCCTCTGAGATCATCACGTCCAACCGTTCCTGTCTACCCCCTAAACCATATCCCTAAGTACCTCATCTACCTGCTCTTTAAACACATCCAGGGATGGTGACTCCACCACCTCCCTGGGCAGCCTGTGCCAGCTTCTGATGACCCTCTCAGTAAAGAACTTCCTCCTTATCTCTGACCTGAACCTCCCTTGGCACAGCTTGGTGCCGTTTCCCCTTGTTCTATCCCCCATCACCTGGGAGAAGAGCCCAGCACCCACCTTCTCTACAAGCTCCCTTGAGGTAGTTAGAGGTGGTGATGAGGTCTCCCCTCATCCCCTCATTTTCTCCACCCCTGAGCAGAACCATTACAGAATCACCCAAGTGCCGTGCTGCTGCCCCCATGCAAGGCACAAAGCAACACACGAAGCCCACCATGCTTCCCTACAAGTGACTGCATCCTCACCTCCCCCTGAATTATGTCTTCAACTCACACACACTCAACCTGGGCACAGCAAATGCAGCAACTACAGCAAACTCTGCGCCTCAGGTTAAGACTCTGCTGCACATCACTTAAACGTTCTCAGCAGCTTACCTTGATGGGAAGGGAGAAGAGATAGATCTCCTCAAGAGACTTGATCTTCATGTCCTTAACCAGGCGGCCAAGCTTTGTAACAGGAATCCACTGCAAAGAAATGCGTGGAAAAGGGTCAGGGACAGCACCGCCTGCCAGGACCCCACAGGAACCGGCTTTGCTTTCCCCTCCCGCTCCCGGGACGGCAGCGGCCACAGCCCCTCGAAGAGCCCAACTCCGCCGTGGTCTCCCGCCACCGGGGACGTCCCCACAAAGTCCCCTCCGCTCCCGAGCCCCGCTTACTTCCTTATCTTCAGCCTTGCCTCCACGAGCCCCGCGACCTCTTC